TAGTCAGGGGTTCCTGTCTCCTGCCCCCTCCCCGCCTATCTCAGCCCCTCGGTGGTGCTGCGGTCTCAGCAGCCTGGCAGGGTTATCGGCAGCCTGTTTCCTGTCTCTGTGTTGCCAGCAGCAGGGCCCTCAGCTCGCTTTCAGTTCATCAGGAAGAAAACCCTCCCCGGGCAATTCTTTAGCACTGCGGACAGTGTATGAGTTTCTGTTGTTCTTGAGCATTTGAAAGTGGGATGGGCAGGGTGCAGTGGCGTGACGGGGGCAGGAGTCGGGGTGTTGTAGGCTTAGAATGAAATTAATCAGGCCCGTGAGCTGGAAGGCCGTGCCTCCACCACGCCCCTGTGTGACCGCTCGCCCTGACCTGGCCACACCTGTGTGCCCACAGGCCAGTCAGGCTAATTCACCCCCCACCCCCACCCCCGGAAGTGGATTAAAAGCCTGGGACACTGTGTGCTTGCTCTTTTCTTTTGGCTTCTTGGCCTTTTGCCAGTGTGGGCCCCTCCAGGGTGCGTGGCCTTTGGGCCACCTGCCCCATGCTTGGTAGGAATGCAGATTTCTCTCTCTCCTTTTAGATAAGGCTTTCACTCCCCTATGCGTTTCTCTCACTGAATAAAAGCTTAAAACATATCATGCAGGGCCGGCGCTATGGCACAGCAGGTAAAGCCGCTGCCTACATCGCCGGCATCCCACATGGGCGCTGGTTCGAGTCCTGGCTGCTCCACTTCTGATGCAGCTCTCTGCTGTGGCCTGGGAAAGCAGTAGAAGATGGCCCAAGTCCTTGGGCCCCTGCACCCGCGTGGGAGACCCAGAAGAGACTCCTGGCTCCTGGTTTTAGATCGGTGCAGCTCTGGCCATTGTGTCCAACTGGGGAGTGAACCAGTGGATAGAAGGCCTCTCTCTTTCTCTGTATAAATAAATAAATAAAGCTAAACCTATAAAACGTATCATGCTGCCTTGTTCATTTATGCCGGTATTCAGAATTCTTCTCTGAATATTAGGCAAGAACCCACACAGGCTGATTAATATTGGGAATTTATCAATAAGCACACAGTGATATCAAATGGTACCCCATATTCCGATTTCTTATGGCGACCCAGATGAGACTTTTGGGGGACTCTTAGGGGGGCCGTATTCTGATTTCAGTGGGAGATGAGAAGCCAGGCACACATGTGTGGGTGCATACACACACAAGCACACACGCACACATGTGTGCACACATGTATGCACGCACACGCACGTGAAAGGCAAGTGGCCAACTGAAGAAAATTGTACTCTACAGTGAAAGAGTTAACATCCTTAATATAAAAAAGCATTTTTTTTTTTTTGACAGGCAGAGTGGAAGTGAGAGAGAGAGAGACAGAGAGAAAGGTCTTCCTTTGCCGTTGGTTCACCCTCCAATGGCCGCCATGGCCGGCGCACCGCGCTGATCCGATGGCAGGAGCCAGGAGCCAGGTGCTTCTCCTGGTCTCCCATGGGGTGCAGGGCCCAAGCACTTGGGTCATCCTCCACTGCACTCCCTGGCCACAGCAGAGAGCTGGCCTGGAAGAAGGCAACCGGGACAGAATCCGGCGCCCCGACCGGGACTAGAACCCGGTGTGCCGGTGCCGCAAGATGGAGGATTAGCCTAGTGAGCCACGGCGCCGGCCTATAAAAAAGCATTTTTGAAGATCTTTTTTGAAAAAGAAACACCCCATTAAAAGTAGGATGACCAGGGCCTGCTCTGTGGCACAGCATTTTAAGCTGTCCCTGAGAGAGCAACATCCCATACGAGCCGACAACTCCAAGTAAAGTGAACTCTGGCCACCAATGTGGAAGTCCTGGATTGAGTTTCTGGCTCCTGGCCTAAGCCCCAGGCCCAGGACCCCTGTGGGAGTGAACCAAATGGGGGCTTGCTCTCTCTCAAATAAAATAAGTATTAAATAACTATTAGTTTCACAGGTTGCAGGCTGGGTGGCTGGGTGTGTGTCGATGCTGATTAGGTAACCCGTTCTCCATTGCTGGGCGTCTAGGAGGTGTCCTTTTTCTTTGCTGTTACAGACAGGGCTAAGATGAGCGTCTCTGCACATCAAACAGCAGACGTTTCATGAGAGTGATCGTCTGATTTGATGCCTTAGATGAGTGGAGGAAGACGGCTCAAGGAACCAAGGAGGCTTTTCCAGGGAGGTTTCTTCTGGCAGTGGGAAGTAAATAGATTTTTAGAGGATGGAGGAAAATTAAAACAGCAAAAGTCCAAAACTGAAGTGAAATTTTTAAAAACTTTATTTGAATGGTAAAGACACATACACACACACACACACACACACGCACGCACAGATCTCCCACAGCTGAGGCTGGGCCAGGCTGAAGCTAGGAGCCCAGAACTCAATCCAGGTCTCCCACGTGGGTGGCAGGGAGCCAAGTACTTGAGCCGTCCTCACCTGCTGCCTCCCAGGATTTGTTTTAGCAGAAAGCTGGAAGGAGGGGTTGAGCAGGCACTTGGACCCACGAGAAGTGTGGGTGTCCCATGGAGTAGCGTAAGCACACGCTCAAGGGTGTGCTTGCAGTCATTGACCTGAGGCCCCGCCCAGGGAGACGGGAGGGTGGAGATGCAAGCAGAAGCTTGAAATCCCAGGGACCACCCTTGCGGAAATGCCGCCAAGCCCCTTTCAGTTCCTGCTGGGGTCGACTGCCCAGCTCCCGCCTGTGCAGACTGGACTGCCGGAGCCCGCCCCTCCCCCTCCTCGGGGCGTGGCCTCTCGCTGGTTTCTGCAAATCCAACGAGGCACAGAAACTAGGAACAGCGTGCGTTTCCTTGTCAGATGGGGGGCGGGGAGGGGCGGGTCTGAGCCCCTTCTACCTTCCTGATTGGTCTGGAGCCTAAGGCGTTCGGATAAGATTAATGAGGAGAGTATGACGCATGCTGTAAAGGCTTCAGTGACGGAGTTTTGCGGCTGGTGGTGTTGTTATTTGCAGTTCTGATTAAACGCGGAGAGGAGGGGGCGCAGTCATTGCGGCACAGTGAGTTAAGGCCACTCAGCTTCTGATCCAGCTTCCTGCTGATGGGCACCCTTGGGAGACAGTGGATAACGGGTCCAAGTACTTGAACCTCTGCCACCCACATGGGAGACCTGGATGGTGTTCAGGGCTCCTGGCTTTGACCTGGCCCAGACCTAGCTGCTGTGGGTATTTGGGGAGTGAACCAGCAGATGGAAGATGTCTCTCTCTCTCTCTTTCTCCCTCTCCCTCTCTCAATCTGTCACTCTGCCCTTCAAATAAATAAATCTTTTTTAAAAATGCTGTAGGGCTGGTGTTGTGGTGCAGCAAGTAAAGCCACCACTTATGACCCCAGCATCCAATATCGGAGCGCTAGTTCTAGTCCCGGCTGCTCCACTTCCGATCCAGCTCCCTGCTAATGCGCCTGGGAAGGCAGCAGAAGATGGCCCAGGTGCTTGGGCTCCTGCCATCCACATGGGAGACCCAGGTGGAGTTCCCAGCTCCTGGTTTCAGCCTGGCTATTTCAGGAGTGAACCAGCAGATGGCAGATCTCTGTCTCTTAGATGAAAATATTTTAAAATTGTATTTGAATGGCAAAGATACACACACACACATATACACACAGATCTGTTGTTCTGCCTTTCAAATACAATTTTAAAAGGAGAGCTGCCGCGAGGAGAGAAGCACAGGTATTCCACGAGTCCTATCAAGGATGCTTGCACCAACGAGGGTAATCAGAGCAAGCTTCCTACAGGAAGGAAGCCACAGGCAGATCCCGAGTGGAGAGAAGAAAGGCCCCAGGGTCTGTCTTTTTTGGCAGCTGGACTTCTTTGGGAAAAGAAAAAAAGAAAAAAAAAAAACATATTCTATTGCCAGGTGACTTCCAAAGCCTGCTGAACCCTGTGTCCCCAGGGAGTGGGAGTGGCAGGTTCCATGGGATCCCAGAGGCACCAGCCCAGGGGAGCTGCCTTTTAATTCTGCCTGCAGCCCCTGGCCTAGAGCAGACTCTCCATCTGCCCATTAGACCCATTAGATGCCTGCTCTTCTGGTCCATGGACTGTGCTGTGAAAGAATTTGGGACTCAGGGCCCAGGTGCAGCCTCCAGTCTTAGTGACTCCACGTCAATCTCTCGCCCTCTCTGGAATTCGGTTTCCTTATCTGCACATCAAGGACGCTGACCTGGACAGGGGTCGGGGTGAGCCGAGGGGAAGGCAGAGTCCGGCCCAGCCATGGGAATGGGCTGGGAATGGGCCCTCGCGTTCTCAGGTCTCCCGATTTTTCACGAGAGTCTAGGTATGCGGCTCCCATTTTCACATGTTTGACGACCCGTCCAAAATGTCCACTAAGCATTGCGTGGGCCCAACGAAGCAGGCCAGTGAACCAGAGCGAACCTCCAGCCAGCTCCCAGTGCCTCATCCCTGGCCTGGCTGCTCTCAGAGGAGCGCTCTCTCACTCACTCACGTTGCCATTGTAATGTGCCTGCAAATTGTTCCCACGATTGCCTGGTCAGCCCTTCTCTGCGGCCGTGCTGCGATCCAGCGCTTGACCCCGGGCAGCAGGGTGGAGCCGCCAGGCCTGCTACAGGGGTGCTTCCCCAATCCCCGGGAGCCCCAGGAACCCAGAGCTTTCTCAGAAAGGCTTAGAAACCCCAGCAGGCTCATCTGACCATCCCAGACCCAGGGTGAGACACACACACACACACACACACACACACCAATCAATCAATCAATCAATCAAACCTGCTGTGAATCAGAACTTGGATTCGCAGGAAGTCATTCTCCACCGCACCTTCTGTATGATGGAGTTGATGTCCTCACTCCCAGCCCCAATTCCTGCAAAACCACAGTGGTTCCTGGTGAGCCCTTAGGAGCCACCCAGGCCTGGGTTCCAGCCTGGGGCTTTGTCACTCTCCAGCTCGATTTTAGGCCTCTCTCTAGACAGGTGACTCCCTTGGAACTTAGTTGGATGCCCTTTAAAAATCCCCCCCTTTCCTGGCTCAGGCAGTTGGGACAATGGTTAAGATGTCGCCCGGGACACCTGCATCCCATAGGGGTGTGTGCCTGGATCGGGTCCTGGCTCCTCTGCTTCCCCCATGACTTCTCCTGTTGCTACGCATCCTGGGAGGCCCAAGCACTTGGATCCCTGCCACTCACATGCCTATTTTTTTCCAACAGTTTGCTGTAGAACCCCTCAAATCCTTAGCCCACGTGTTGTCCTGCAGCAGGCCCATCACTGACACGTGGGTGGCGGAAGAGAGTAGGCGCTCATTTTGCAACGTGCAGGGCAAGAAGCCGGGTGGCTGTTGCTCAATCTCTGGACTCCTCAGGGATTAAGCGCAGTGAATCTTGTAGATTAAAGTCAGGGCTGAGCCGTGCGCTGGTCTCTGGTTGAGGCCCGTGCTCCTGGCCTGCCTTTGGTTGGTCAGTGACGGGAGGCTGGCACGCTCATCCGAGAACGTTGTGATGGCAAAGCAGGCTCCAGCCTGCCTTGGGGGGTGGGGTGAGCGGTCTATGAGTAGATGATTAAAACTTGAGTTTGACCAGAACCTGGGGTTCCTGTGAAGCATCTCAACTTGGAGACTGGCGCTAAGACGTTCCCAGCAGGGGTGATAGTTGCCTTCAGTCATGTGATCTGGAGTCTGGTAGGAGCCTTAGTGTAGCGAGTTCATCTTTAGTAAGGAGCTGACTTGTAGGTTTCATAGTAGAGAAAGAACCGCAAACCAGGGGAGAGAACCCAGGGCCCGCCAGATAAAGTCTACATCAAAGGCATCAGGGACTGGGCTTGGTTTCAAGTCGGCTTGTATTTCAGCTCGTCCATCTAGCCAAGTGAGCTGAATGTATGTTCACAAACACATCCAGACATTCAGCCGGTGCGGAGGCGCCCTCCTCTCCCCCACTTCTTTCCGGTGTGACCGCCAGTCCTTATCTGAGTACCTTTGACTTTTCCCGCCAGTGAACTGCCCCGGTGTCCAGCAGGAGGCTTTGTAACAACAGAGAGATGGTGACAGGAATGAAAACTCACCAGTTGTTGTTCGGGGTCGGCTACCACTTCATACAAAGCAGTGGGGACCTCAGTTCTATTAGGAAAAAAGAAGGTAAGCAAAGAAGAAATATTTCAGGACCTGCATTAAAATCTTAGCAGTTTAAAGGCAGAGAGGAAGACAGACAGACGGACGACAGACAGATGGAGCTGTCCCATCGGTTGGTTCATCCCCCATGTGCCCCTGGCAGCTGGGACTGGGTCAACGTAGAAGCTGGGACCCCAATGTGAGTCTCCCAGTAAGTAGCAGGGACCCAGCTATTGGAGCCATCGTCCACTGCTCTCCAGGGTCTGCGCTGGCAGGAAGCTGGGTCAGAGGTGGAGCTGTCCTTCAAAGCCAGGCCCTCTGACGTGGGAGGCGGGCGGCCCAAGCAGCAGCATCCCAGTCACTGCGCCACATGTCTGTCCCCTCAGTGACATTTAGTGGGGGACAGAACTACAGGTGCATTTTTTCTACTTCCCTTTTTAAAAACAAAGAAAGAGGGGCCAGCACTATGACATAGCAGGAAAAGCTGCTGACTGCAGTGCCGGCATCCCCTATGGGTGCTGGTTTGAGTCCCAGCTGCTCTGCTTCTGACCTCTGCTATGGCCTGGGAAAGCAGCAGAAGATGACCCATGTCCTTGGGCCCCCGCACCCACATGGGAGACTCGGAAGAAGCTCCTGGCTTTGGATTGGCCCAGCTCCAGTTGTGGCCATTTGAGGAGTGAACCAGCAGATGGAAGACCTCTCTCTCTCCCTCTCTCTCTCTCTCTCTCTCACTCTTTCAAATAAAGAAAATAAATCTTTAAAAAAAAGAAAAGGAAGACCTTTCCCTCTGTCTCTCCCTCTCTTTCTGTAACTCTGCCTCTCAAAATAAATAACATAAAGATAAAAGAATAAATCTTTTTTAAAAAAGATTTATTTTATTTATTTGAAGGAGTTACAGAGAGAGGTAGCACGAGAGAGAGAGAGAGAGAGAGAGAGGTATTTCATCCGCTGGTTCACTCCCCAGATGGCTGTAACGACTGGAGCTGGGCCGATCCGAAGCCAGGAGCCAGGAACTTCTTCTGGGTCTCCCACATGGGTGCAGGGGCCCAAGGACTTGGGCCGTTTTCTGCTTTCCCAGGCCATAGCAGAGAGCTGGATCAGAAGTGGAGCAGCCAGGACTCGAACTGGCACCCACATAGGCTGCTAATCCCACACTGGAGTGCTCGGGTTCAGTGCCCAGCTCAGGCTCCTGACTCCAGCTTCCTGCTGACGTAGACCCAAGAAATTGGGTTCCTGCTACACACATGGGAGACCTGGATGGAGTTCCTGGCTCCTGACTTTGGTCTGGGCCCAGCCCAGCTCTTGTGGGCATTTAGGGATTGAAGCAGTGGATGGGAGCTCTCAGTCTCTCTCTCTTTCTGTTTCTACCTCTCAAACAAATTATTGTGTTTTTTTTTTTAATTTTTTAATTATTTATTTGAGAGGCAGAGTTACAGACAGAGAGAGGGACAGACAGAGAGAAAGGTCTTCCAACTGCTGGTTCATTTCCCAGATGGCCACAATGGATAGAGCTGGGCCAATCCGAAGCCAGGAGCCAGGAGCTTCTTGTGGGTATCCCACATGGGTGCGGGGGCCCAAGGACTTGGGCCATCTTCTGCTGCTTTCTCAGGCCATCAGCAAAGAGCTAGAGTGGAAGAGGAGCAACCAGGACACGAACGGATGCCCATATGGGATGCTGGCACTGCAAGCAGAGGTCTAGCCTACTACACTACAGCGCCAGCCCCAAGATTTATTTTCTTAAAAAGAGATATTTGCTTTATTTGAACGGCAGAGATACAGAGCGATCTTCCATCTACTAGTTCTCTTCCCAAATGGTGACAGTGGCCATGACTGGGCCAGGCAAAGCCAGGAGCCTGGAAGTCCATCTGGGTATCCCACACGGTGGCAGGGGCCCAAGCCTTTATGCCATCTTCTACTTCTTTCCCAGGTGCATTAACAGGGAACTGGATTGAAAGTGGAGCAGCTGAGATTCAAACTTGCACTCATATGGGATTGCTGGCATTGCAAGTGGCAGCTTAACCTGCTGTGTCACAACACCGCCCCACTGTGATCCTTATTTTAGAGATGTGTAGCCTGAGGTTCAAGGGGAGTCTAGATTTTTCCAAAGTCTGAAGCCAAGGAACGGAGCCAAGCCTGAAACCCAGATTCTCCCCAACATGGTTGACGGCTTCCTTAGGGAAAACCCTTTCAGTACGTCCTCCATTCTACTAGCTATGCATACGTGGTGTGTAAAGACAGACTGTGCAAGGGAGCAGAAAGGCCAGTAGAAACAAAGACACAACGGGGGCTGGAGGGCCTTTGTCCACTGTTAACGTCCATATATGTACAGAAGTGTACCTCCACTTCTGTTGATACAAGCATGTATTGTGTGGGCTCGTCCTGCGAGGCCCACACTGTCAGGATGATGGGGTGACAGCGTTCTTCGAAAAGATGCACCGGAAAGTTTCGGTGAACATGTCCATTTATTAACAGTCAGGCACAGGCTTTTAAAGGGCAGCCAAAGAAGGGAGTAGCTAGTTCAGGGCAACACTAATTCTATAGGATAAAGCCAATACTGGTGCCCGTATGCTTCTGCAATCAGCTTGAAGGTCATGGAGCCTACATAGCCTTCCAGGTAGTTCTTATGGGTCTGCGCCACACGCCGGAGCTGTTTATTTGGTTGACAATTATAAGGCCCTTCAACAGGAAGTGGGGGTGATAGAAACATACCTGGCGTCCCTGCCACCTGCCAGCAGCCAGGTCATGTGTGGCTCTTAGTGTGCTGAGCCCCTGACCAGGGTCTTTCCCGGGAGGCATGGTGTGCCATGTCTTGTTAACCTCCTGCATGGGTTAGGCAGGCAGTCTCCCAGCCAGGCACAGGATCACCCACGGTATTGTCTTTAAAAATTTATTTTGTGGGGCCGGCGCGGTGGTGCAGTGGATTTAAGCACTGGCCTGAAGTGCCGGCATCCCATATGGGCGCCACTTTGAGTGTTTTGAAAGACAGAGGTGGGGCCGGTGCAGTGACGTAGTGAGCAAAACCGCTGCCTGCAGTGCCAGCATCCCAAATGGGCGCCGGTTCAAGTCCTGGCTGCTCCACTTCTGATTCAGCTCTCTGCTATGGCCTGGGAAAGCAGTACAAGATGGCCCAAGTCCTTGGGCCCCTGCACCCACATGGGAGACCTGGAAGAAGCTCCTGGCTCCTGATTTTGGATCGGCACAGCTCAAGTTGTTGCAGCCATTTGGGGAGTGAACCAGCGGGTGGAAGGCCTCTCTGCCTCTGCCTCTCTGATTTTCAAATGAATAAATAAATCTTGTCTAGCTGTGACTAAGCACATTAAAAAAAAAAAAAAAAAAAAAGACAGACAGGGCCGGGACCGCGGCTCACTAGGCTAATCCTCCGCCTTGCGGCGCCAGCACACCGCGTTCTAGTCCCGGTTGGGGTGCTAGATTCTGTCCTGGTTGCACCTCTTCCAGGCCAGCTCTCTGCTGTGGCCAGGGAGTGCAGTGGAGGATGGCCCAGGTGCTTGGGCCCTGCACCCCATGGGAGACCAGGAAAAGCACCTGGCTCCTGCCATCGGATCAGCGCGGTGCACCGGCCGCAGTGGCCATTGGAGAGTGAACCAACGGCAAAGGAAGACCTTTCTCTCTGTCTCTCTCTCTCACTGTCCACTCTGCCTGTAAAAAAAAAAAAAAAAAAAAGAATTCTCACCAAAACCCGACAGACAAATAGACAGGGAGAGATCTCCCAAGCACTGATTCACTCCCAAAATACCCACAAAAGCCAAGGCTAGCCCACACCGAAGCTGGGAAGCCAGAAAGCCAGGATTCCAGGCCTCCCAATGTGGGTGGCAGGGACACAACCACTTGAGCCATTTTTTGAAAAAATATATTTATTTATTTTAAAGATTCACTCCCCAAATGGATGCAATAGCCATAGCTGGGCCAGTCTGAAGCCAGGAGCCAGGGACTCCATCCAGGTCTCCCACATGGGTGGCAGGGACCCAAACACCTGGGCCATCTTCTGCTGCTTCTGGTGCATCAGCAGGGAGCTGGACCAGAAGCAGAGTAGCCTGGCTTGAATCAGCACCCATATGGGATGCTGGGATCACAGGCGGCAGCTTAACTCACAGCGCCACGACGCTGGTCCCAGCTCCTTGAGCTACTTGCCTACCTCCCAGAGTATGCATTAGGACTGAAAGCAGAGGAGTCTAGACTCAAACCAGATACTCTGAGTTGGGGTGTGGGTGTCCCAAGAGGTATCTGAACGGCTATGCCAAACCCCTGCCACCTACATTTTTATTATTTTTAAGATTTATTTATTTGAAAGTCAGAGTTACAGAGAGAGAGGAGAGAAAGAGAGAGAGAGCACTCTTCCATTCACTGGTTCACTCCCCAGATTGTGGCATAGCCTGAGCTGGGACAGGCTGAAGCCAGGAGCCAGAAGCTTTAGCTGGTCTCGCATGTGGATGCAGGGGCCCAAGAACTTAGTCCATCTTCCACAGCTTTCCCAGGCGTGGAGCAGGGAGCTGGATCAGAAGTGGAGCAGCCTCATTTTGAACCTGTGTCCATATGGGAAGCCGGCATTGCAGGCAGTGGCTTTACCCACTATCCCACAATGCCTGCCCATTTATATCCAGTTTTGTAAGCTTTTACATTTTTTTAGAGGCAGAGAGACTCACCTGTCCCATCCACTGTCTCCTCTCCCACATGCCTAGAGCAGCAGGGCTGGACCAGGATGAAGCTCCAAACCAGGAACTCAGCTCAGGTTTCCTACCGGGGTGTCAGGGATCCAGCTGTTTGTTCAGCCGCTGCCTCCCTGTGTGCACATCAGCAGGAAGCTGGAATTGGAGGTGGAACCGGGACTTTAACCCAGACGCTCTGATGTTGGTTGTGTGTGTCTCAGCAACATCATAGGTTTTTTTTTTATTTTTGCAGGTTCACATAAAGTCAGTTTATTAAGGACTACATTTTGAAGCCAGCCAGTTTGTCCGATATTTAAATAACAAGCTGTTTAATATTAAAGCAGAAAGGTACTGCCACAACGTGACAGAAGTACAGCTTTAACCAAAAACCCCCTCACACACAATGATACATTAAATGCTATTTTTATTTAAGAAGGCACCCCTACTTGTTCTAAAACATGGGATGTGCTACCCCATTGAAAAAGCAAATGAGAACTTAAGTCCCAGGAGGGAGGGAGGGAGGGAGGCAGGGCCCAGAGTACCCGGGCCATCAGTGACCGCTGCCTCCCTGGGTTACACTGGAGAGGCGGGACTGGATGCGGCAGTGCACAGGTGCGTCCCGTGGCGCCAAGGCAACGGCCAGAGGGGAGTGCGCATGCGCGCGGCACTTTGCCCCGGAAGTGTATTAGCGCACATGCGAGGCCCTGACTGCCCTTCAAGCGCTCAGGGGAGAGTCAGTTCGGCTTCCGTTGACAAGAGCCTGCGTGAGCTGAGAGGAAGGAGCCGTCCTCGACGCCGCTGGCCGAGCCTGAGCCTGAGGGAGACCCAGCGGCCCCGGGGTCAGGCTGGGACGAGGAGCTGTGGGAGAGCGGAGGTGGCTCGGTCTCCTCCCGGAACAGCCCCGCGTTCCCGTCTTTTGCTTTTGGAGGGCCCAGCCGCCCTGCGCTAGAGCTCTGAGACTGTGGACGGGAGGAACGAGAGCGACGTGCGTGTCTGTGTCCTGGTCTAGGGGGACAGTTTCGGGTCCTCGCGTGAGGTGTGTGTGCTGTTAGCGCTCTGTGGGTTTTTCATGAAAGAGCCTTGTCAGGCCGGGGTGTACCTTCCGTTCCTAATTTGATGATTTTATTTCTTTAATACGGCAGAAAGTAGTGACGGTTTTGTGACATAGGTGTTCCGTGTCTGTAGGGATACTTGGTGGGCTTTTCCCAGGTGGATTCTGTTCTGGGATAGATTGCTTTTGCATGGTAGCCATCCTTGCATTCCTGGAGTGACTCTCAGTTGCGCACAGTGTGCTAAGCTTTGGTTGTGCTACCGGATCGCATTGGGTCATATTTTGTTGAGGAATGGGACACGTTCACGACGGATATTTATGTGCCATTTTCTGTATGGTGTGTGTGTTTGGATGTTGGGATAATGCTGGTCTGATGGAGTAAAAAGGAAAGTCTTTCCTCTTCATGTGCTTTTTGGAAGGGTGTGCAAACCCCTCCTATGATAATCAAGCACATTGCTTGATTTTCCCCTCTGATAACTGTGGAAGATGACGTGAGTGTCAAATGGGGAAAGAAAGATTTTTTTAATATTTATTTCTGTATTTGAAAGGCAGAGCTACAGAAAAGCAGAGGCAGAGCGAGAGAGCGAGAGAGACAGAGAGGTCTTCCGTCTGCTGGTTCACTCCCCAGATGGCCGCAATGGCCAGAGCTGAGCTGATCCTGGAGCCAGGAGCCAGGAGCTTCTTCAGGGTCTCCCACGTGGGTGCAGGGGAGAAGCACTTGGGCCATCTTCCACTTTCCTAGGCCATAGCAGAGAGCTGGATCACAAGTGGAGCAGTGGGGACTCAAGCCAGTGCCCTTATGAGATGCTGGCACTGCAGGTAGAGGCTTTACCTGCTACACCACAGTGCCATCCTCAAGAAATATTCTTGTGGTGGACTATCGTTCATGGGTTGTAGTCCTCTGCTCTGTGCAGGTAGAATTTGAGTAATTCTTGCAGACCCCTGAATTTTTGAGGTACATAGAGATAACATGGTAAATGTAGTGGGACCCACAGTTTTCCAGTGAAATACTTCATGATATCTGTTGGGGTCCTGCCATTTATGCAGATGGGTTCTAAAGCAACCTGATCAGTGAAGACACCGCCACCTATCGATCCAGTGAAGCAAGTCCAGAGTGAGCACCTGTAACCCTGGCGGAGGCTCCACCCCTGGTGACGAGGAGATGTAGGCCTGTGCTGCTGCTCATTCCACGGGGAAGGGCCTGTCATACTGCTGTCAACGTCCTGGTTTCATATTTTGGTATTGTTGTGTTTGGGTTTGTTCTTCAACTGAAATATGTGGTATCTCCATTTGGTTCATACATTTCATCTTGCAGTTTTCACAGCTAAATTTCTTTTGTTTTATAATTTCTTGTTTATATAAAGGTGAACAGATATCATGTATTTCATACACATAGATGGAGGAACATAGTGATACTTCCCACCTTCCCCCGCACCACCATCCTGTCCTCCTTTCTCCTTCCTTTCTTGTGATGATTAAACACATGTAACAGTGAAAATTGTCACAAAAATGTCACAGTGAAAATTAAAAGAAGGTGTAAGTTCTACACCTTGACAGAACTAACTCCACAATGTGTAGCTCCTAGTAGGAACTGAAAATGCAGGTTGTGTTGTTTAAACATTGTCATGCATTTAAATATGGAAACCCTAGGAATTTAGGTTGAGTTTAGGTGAGAAACTACCGTGGTGCCTCCCCAAACATGTGTTCTCTAAACATAATGTGCCACACCCAACTGTTCCTTTGAACTAAGGGACATAGTGGTCACCAGTGATGGGAAAGGGAAGGCTTTTTAGGGCAATGAACCTGAGGACTGTGACCAAGACCTGTCCCCGTGAGTCCGTGAGATCAAACTGTGCATGAGCCCCCTGGCTCCAAGCCCCAGCACTTGCCCCATCTTCCTATCAGACTTCATTTACAAAACACAGATTCAAGTGAAATTCAGTAAGAATTTGAATAGCAGAGAGTGCCCTCTTCTGAGATGGGCACAGTTGCAGTGTCACTGGTCACATGCTGATGAAGCAGGCCCTGCATTTTCAGTTCCATGAGTTAATTGGGCTAATTCACAACATGCCTATAATATGTAACTATGTTATATGCACATAGGAATGTGCACACATTGGTGGGAGAATGGCATATGGTAATTTATAATTCTCATTTCACTTTGCACTTTCCTGATTTCCTGCAGATACACTACCTTTCATTTTCTATTTCTGAGTTTTCAGTTTGAGGGAGGTGGGGTGACAATGTAATATGTTACTTGGATATTGTCTTAACTATTCTCTGGATAGAATTCCCGAATATTTGTTTTCAAGATACAAATCTCCTTCTATACCCAATTTGCTTAGAGTTTTCATCATGAAAGGGTGTTGTATTTTATCAAATGTTTTCTGTGCATCTATTGAGATAATCATATGGCTTTTCTTCTGCAGTTTGTCAATGTCGTGTATCGCATTGATTGGTTTGCGAACATTGAACCATCCCTGCGTACCAGGGATAAAACCCACTTGGTCTGGGCGGATGATCTTTCTGCTGTATTGTTGCATTCTATTGGCCAGAATTTTTTGAGGATCTTTGCGTCTATGTTCATCAGGGCAATTGGTCTGTAATTCTCTTTCTCTGCTGCATCTTTTTCAGGTTTAGGAATTAAGGTGATGCTGGCTTCATAGAATATGAGAGAATTCCCTCCGTTTCGATTGTTCTGAATAGTTTGAGAAGGATTGGAGTTCTTTAAATGTCTGGTAGAATGCCCATATGGGATGCCGGCACTGCATTTGGTGAGCTCACCTGCTACGCCACAGGGCTGGCCCCAATTGTGAATGTTTTAAAAATTGTTTCTCTCCCATGAATCCTACCAAATCCTCACAATATTAACCTAAGTTCCTTAATTTTTATTTGCATTTTAAGTATAGGAACCAATTTTTGCCTGTTTTATTTTTTCAGTCTTCTTACAGTATAACTGAGAAACAAAAATTGTTTACATTCAAGGCTGTAATGTGTATTTTTATATGAGCCTTATCTTTATATTGCATTTTCACACAAACCTTTGACTTTCTTGGTACTCAGAATACACTATGAAAGGGTTAGTACAATGAAGCTACTTAACATATGTATCACTCTTAGAGTGTTTTTTAAAATTTTTAAAATTTTATTTATTTATGTATTTTCCCAGAGAACTTTTATTTAAGGTATACAAACTTAGTATATTCAATAAATACAACTTTAGGAGCCTAGTAATTCTCCCGGCCGTACCCACCATCCCACTCCCACTCCTATCGTGTTTAAAGTATTCTTTAAGAACACTGATCTTAGGAGATCACAAGTACAGAATATAGTGTTAACTGGTCACCCAGTGTATATATTAGATTTTCAAAACCTGATCACATCATAACTGCAAATTTGATTTTGTAGATGTATTTGAAAGGCAGGAAACAGGCCCCGAATATCTCATGCACTGTTTCCCTCCTCAGATGTCCTCAATGGGAGGGCTGGGCCTGGAGGAAGCCAGGAGCCAGGACCTTGTTGTTCCAGGTCTCCCACTTGGGCACAGGGGCCCACGTCGTTGGGGCATCTTCTGGTGCTTTCCCAGGCACATTAGCAGGGAGGTGAATGGGAAGTGGAGCAGCAGGACTCGGTCTGGTGCCCGTAAGGGATGCTGGCAGTCCAGGTGGAGGCTCACGCTTTTACACCCCAGCTCCAGCCCCGTAACCATATATTTATGTCGTTTGACTAACACCTCTTCATTTTCATACTCCCAGTTCATCACAAACACCATCCTGCTCCCTGACTCTATAAGTCTGACTTTTGTATATTCCACATGTAAGTGTGTTCATGTAGTATTTCTTATTTCTGTGTCTTATTTCACTCAGTGTGATGTCCTATGGTTGCATACTTTTGGATCCATCCTGTGACAAGTAGTAGTGTTTCCTTTCTTTTTAAGGTTTGGTGAGGATTCCACTGTGTGTGTATCCCACTTTTCCTTATGCATCCATCAACAAACATTTGGGTTATTTCTTTTTTTTAACTTTTATTTAATGAATATAAATTTCCAAAGTACAGCTTATGGATTACAATGGCTTCCCCCCCATAACTTCCCTCCCACCTGCAACCCTCCCCTTTCCCGCTCCCTCTCCCCTTCCATTCACATCAAGATTCATTTTCATTTCTTTTTATATACAGAAGATCAGTTTAGCATATATTAACTAAAGATTTCAACAGTTTGCACCCACACAGAAACACAAAGTGAAAAATACTGTTTGAGTACTAGTTATAGCATTATATCACATTGTACAGCACATTAAGGACAGAGATCCTACATGAGGAGTAAGTGCACAGTGACTCCTGTTGTTGACTTAAGAAATTGACACTCTTGTTTATGGCATCAGTAATCACCCTAGGCTCTTGTCATGAGCTGCCAAGGCTATGGAAGCCTTTTGAGTTCACCTACCCTGATCATATTTAGACAAGGTCATAGTCAAAGTGGAAGTTCTCTCCTCCCTTCAGAGAAAGGTACCTCCTTCTTTGATGACCTGTTCTTTCCACTGGGATCTCACTCGTGGAGATCTTTCATTTAGTTTTTTTTTTTTTTCCCCCCAGAGTG